CCCTGTCAAACAGTTATGCGATCACTTTCGCGTAGCACGAGTGCCGTAGTGAATAATCGCGTGTATTCGCGCACCGGCTAAAACGCTCTTTCAGTACAATTTTGACGCGCTGGCTGCTCGCGCGCTGCGCGAGAATCAATATGAGAAAAGAACGACGGCAACCCGTTGACAACAAATTCTTGGGCTAAACAATGGATCAATACCGATACCTTGCGGCGGAGGGCAACTCGTAGAAACGGTAATAAATCGTCGTTCCTTGTCGTGGATGACATTCTTTGACTCGTACGCACTTTTCCTAATCAGCGAATACAGAAGTAAATTTCGGAGAGTTCCACTCGTCAGTTTTTCTCTTGCGTGACGCACGTACGTATATTTAATCCTTAACCTTTGCGGTGAACACTTTGAATTTGATATTTAACTGTGTTTTAATACAACGAAGAATAATTATCTCACTCGTTTTTCTTCCAAATTGACAGTAATTCTTCGCATTGGTGCAGTCTTGTTTAGTTTGTGATCAATTTATTGTGAAAGATGTACAACGAAAGAAAACTGAAAAATAAATGATTCCTAATAAGCTTTAAATTTAACATTATATTTAATTAAATGAATATTCTGCAAGTTTGCGTGTTTGTGATTATTTGCTGAATTTCAGTTATAGTTTTGTACATGTAATTTTGCGGACTAAATAATTTGCAAGGCTGAGCAGTGAATCATACAGAGGATAAAATAAATACGTAATTGTTCAATACATTTTTAACAAGGATATATCAATATGTTAGTTTTCTCGCTGCAGTGACTGTGAAGCTTGATATTAAGTTCCGTTATCTCGATCGATGCTATTCTAAATACAATGCAGTTAAACGTATGTAAAATGTATCGGAAAATATAATCTTACCTGCAGATAATTTTAAGACTGTAATTCATTTTTTATCAGCTGACGAAAGCACCACGCTTTCCAGAAAAGAAAGTGAAATTTAATTTAAAAAGTTGTAGCAATTAAAATTTTGTTGTGTAATATATGAATATTGTGAACACAAATTTTTATTTAATTTTATAATGCATTTTTCATGCTTAAATATATTAATTTAGAGAATTAAGTGAATCGTGACGAAATTTTACAAAACTAGCATCGCGAGAAATTATGAATTACAATGTGTGTGAATTGGAATAAATACTAGTATTCGCAAAAATCTAACTTGTTATTTGTTATTTTATATTTTTCTCCAGCTTTTGAATAAACAATTAAATTCGTTAAAAACATTATTATTACATGGAAAATTGTCATTTACATTATAATTGAAAAAGATAAAAAAAACTGTAATGTAATACTTTAGAAAAAATTATTTTTCGTAAACAATTGGTTTAAAAGACTTCGAAATCAAAAGTGAAAATTTGGTCTATAAGGAAAGTAGGAGAAATTTGTTATATATTGAATAAAAACGTTCTATGTGTTATCTTTTTTTATTTTAACTTTTATAAGAATATTAGAAGATTTCTGTTAACATATATTGTTTGGAAGAATAAACTTTTAATTTAAAATTATATATTCGAATTTTCCTAGAAACGATTTAATACTCTACAAAAATATTTATCCTAAAATTTCTTATTTACAATTTTTACAATTTTTAATAGTGCAAAATACGATTGTTTTTAAAATATTATCTGTACACAAGCCATTTCGAGACATGAAGCTTTTAAGACTATTCCATGAGATACATAAAATTTCACTTGACACAGAATGGAATGTATCACGGAAATCATTGAAGTGTTAAATTCGAATACGAGAGAGAGAGAGTCCGTTGAAACAAGTATAGCCTCAGGACGAATCACAACCAGTAAATCCTTGCTTTGCAGACGAGGGCCGTACACACTTGACCGCCGGCATGGAAAAGCTGGACAATCAGCAGAAGACCTGGAAGAAGAAAAGCATGAGATCGAGCGCGAGCACCGAGGTGGCGACGCAATGCGTGAAAGTGGTCGTGCGATGCCGACCGATGGACGAGCGAGAGGCGACCCGCGGTTACAGCCGCGTGGTCGAGGTGATCCCGTCTAGGGGCGTGGTGGAGGTGCGGCATCCGCGCGACGATCCGTCCAGCGAGACCGTGAAGGTGTTCACCTTCGACGCGGTGTACGACTGGCACTCCAGCCAGCAGGAGCTGTACGAGGAGACGGTGAGACCGCTGGTGTCCTCGATACTCGACGGCTTTAACGGCACTATCTTCGCGTACGGGCAGACCGGCACCGGTAAGACGTACACGATGGAAGGCGCGAAGATGGATCACGAGAGGCGCGGCATCATCCCGCGCTCCTTCGAGCACATCTTCAACCACATCGGCCGGTCGGAGAACATGCAGTACCTCGTGAGAGCCAGCTACCTGGAGATTTATCAGGAGGAGATACGCGATCTGCTGCACCCGGATCAGAGTCTGCGGTTCGAGCTGAAGGAGAAGCCGGAGCTCGGCGTTTACGTGAAGGATCTGTCGACCGCCGTGTGCAAGAGCGCGACGGAGATACAGCATCTGATGAACGTCGGCAATCAGAACAGAACGATCGGCGCGACGAACATGAACGAGCACAGCTCGCGGTCGCACGCGATCTTTCTCATCACGATCGAGATGGGCAGCATCGGCGGCGATTCCGGTGGCATCCGGGTGGGACGCTTGAACCTGGTCGACCTCGCGGGCAGCGAGAGGCAGAGCAAAACCGGCGCGTCGGGAGAGCGATTGAAGGAGGCGAGCAAGATTAATCTCAGCCTGTCGGCCTTGGGCAACGTCATCTCGGCGTTGGTGGACGGCAAGACGACGCATGTGCCATATCGAGATTCGAAGCTGACGAGACTGCTGCAGGACTCTCTAGGTGGTAACTCGAAGACGATCATGGTGGCGAATATCGGCCCGGCCAGCTACAACTACGACGAGACCCTGACGACTCTGCGATACGCCAGCCGTGCCAAGAACATCAAGAACAAGCCTAGGATAAACGAGGATCCGAAGGACGCTTTGTTGAGGCAGTATCAGGAGGAGATAGGTCGATTGAAGGAGAAACTCGCGCAGAAGGGCGGTGTGTCGCGAAAGAAGAAGAAGTCGAAGAGAAAAAAGGGAGAGGCGAACGAGGCGAACGACTCGGAGTCCGATGCGGACGACAGTCGGGGCGAGGACAATAAGGCGACCGAGGCCGACAAGAAGCTGATAGCGGAGCAGCTGAAGGCCGAGAAGCAGGAAGCCGAGAATCTCGTTCAGAGAATAAAGGACTTGGAGAGCAAGATGCTCTGCGGCGGTAAGAACATAATCGATCACACGAACGAGCAGCAAAGGGCGCTCGAGCAAAAGGCGGCCGAGATCGCGGAGCGTAAGAGGCGCGAGGTCGAGATGCAGCAGAAGCTGGAGGACGAGGAAGTGACGATGGTCGGCGTGAGGGAGACTTACACCACGTTGCAGCAGGAGGTGGACGTGAAGTCGAGAAAGCTGCGAAAGTGCTTCACCAAGCTGCAGGCCCTGAAGCAGGAGCTGGAGGACGTCACGAGCGACTACAACCGGGACAGACGGGACTTGGAGCAGGAGCAGCACGAGCTGATGAAGGAGCTGAAGCTCAAGTATCTCATAATCGAGAATTTCATTCCCGAGGAGGAGAAGACCAAGATCCTGTCCAGAATTCACCTGGACGAGGAGGAGGACTGCTGGGTGGTGAAGGATCCCGAGCCGTCGAGCATCGACGTCATCAAGCGCCCGACTTCGGTGCCGGGCGCGCGCCGACCGGTCTCGGAGTACGCGCGGATCGCTCTCGCGATGGGACGCGGGTGCCGTTACGCGGGCGAAAATATCCTCAACTTGGACCTCGACATGCCGGCGCGGACGACGCTGGATTATCACGGGCCGGCGATCGCGCCGACGATCCAGGCCGTCCTCGAGGAGGCTCTGCGCGACGAGGGCGACATAGACGTCGACGCTTCCAGCACGAGACTGAGGACCAAGACGCGTTTGCAGTCGGCGCGGGTCAGACCAAAGAGCGTCACCAAGATGCAGCAGATCCCGGCGCCGGTTTACCCCAAAACGAGAGGCCTCGTACCGAAATAGAATCGTTTCAAACCCCCGCGATCGCGCGCGCTTCTTTTCTTCGCTTGTAAAAGGGGAATGTACATATTGTATGAACGGCGCCTTGTGCTTTATTTAATTTTTCATGATGCGGTTACTTCGAGTACACACGGACGAGGAAATGTGTCTTTATAATTCTCTAGTCATTATGCAATTCGTAAACATATGATATGAGCTACGTCGATCATGTATAACTGTTGTAATAATACAATATAAAATAGATCTTCAACCGAAGTCTCTTTCCCGATTTCTGGCGATCGTAAGGGCTACTACTGAATAATAAGACGCCCAGCGATGTAGGATACATTATTTCATTAACTTTATTTTCAACCAATACTCGTTATTACTATGAGAATATAAAAACATTTTTAGAAGCTCGCTTTACTTTTAAATGGAAAGTATATACTTAATACTATTTTTCTGCTATATAAAGAATTACATCCGATTATCGTAAATGATAAATAATATCTAGACATGAATGAAATCTTTTTTTTTTCAAGAGCAACTTAAAACGCTGTTCACACGATTACCACAATTTCTTTTCCTCAGAAAAATTGCCGCAGTGTTTCGTACAACGGCAGTGAAAATCATTTATTCTATTCAGTATATTACAAACAACGAAATATATTTTATAATCAATGAATTAAACGTACACACACGTACAACTCTTTTACTTTATTCTACTTACTTTCGTCTGGTCGAAGTCGTATGTAATAATGGCTCATTCACTTTTATGCCTCGTAGAACTTACTCCAAAATAAGGTACATTCGGTCAAGGTGCACACGTTTTAGGACTTTCACTGAACACACCCGCGCATACTCGCAGCAGATACATAAAAGCTCATACGAAAAAGACGAATGACGTTTTATAAACGAGGTGACGCTCGATGAACATGTGAAAAGTTATTACATTATGTATTTGATTGACAAAGTTTAACACAGTTGGGGCGCTCTCGAGAATTTTTCATACACCGAAATCAGATTTCTGTTTCATTCACAAATGGTAGTACGAATAGTTTCATACCAATTGTTTTCGTCATTCAAATGTATGAAAGCAAGAGAGAATATCTTTCATTATAAATAAAATATATATATATATATATACACACAGGGTGTCCCTAAAATTTTGACAAAGCACTCGTGTGCAGATAGAACGAACTAAATTGAAAAGTCCTGTACCATTTTGCAATTTTCGCAACAATTCACGAGTTATTAATTACTAAAGATCGCCGAATAAGCGCATATCCGCCCAGCGATGGTTGCTAGACGCGTGGGAAGTTGTTTACTACAAGCCCGGCAAAGCCCGCTCTGATATACGATGGTCTCCCGTTTCTTTATTGCCACACGCTTGCATTTATACGGATACGCGCTTATTCGGCGATTTTGAGTAATTAATAACTCGTTAACTGTTGTGAAAATTGCAAAATGGTACAGGTTTCGACTCAGTTTAGTCCGCTCTACCTGCACACGAGCGCTTTGTCA